TCTGCGAAAGAGTAAACATTTGGGCTCGGTAAAACAATGCAGAAAGTGAAGAATGTCATAGAAAAACATGTTTGAAATATTTTCTATGCTTGAAGTTTTCACTAACGTTTTTAGGCTATTTTTAAAAACTTAACACGCCTGTATTCATACATTTCCAAAGGACCTCGGTGCATCCAGCCCACCACTGACATGCATTTATATGCACTGCAGTAGGGTTGCATAGGGTCTTTTTTTTTTTAGCAGTTATATTTTCAATATATTTGTGGTATGAAGGTTATTTTTTAGTAATTTCTGCACTCCAGAGATGTCTATTTTGTAGTGCCTTTAATAATATATCAGCTATATATTAAAAAGCACACCTGAGCAGCTAGGGAAAGTTTTAACAATATATTTTGAAGAGTATATTCAATATTTAAAGAATACATACCTTAGTGTTTTGTTTTGTTTTGTTTTTTAAGAAGAAAACAACAAATACCTTATTTAAAAATTATACTGGAAAGTGCAATTTGAAAAATGTGCAAGACCTCTGCATTTTTTGCTGGCATTAATACAATCCGCTCATTCTCATTTGAAATCACAAGTAACTAATATTGCCTGTTTGAAAGAAAGAGAAAAGAAAAAAGCCTCCTCACACATACCTCTTCACAGTGTGATTTGCAGGCTTGTTTTTAGCGAAAGAAAGGGTCCAAGTTTTCCTTAGCAACTGGATTTTCTATTTATTGAAGTTACTTGTAGTTGCAGCATGTACAGAAACGAGTAGGTGATGTTTCACGTGAGGTGTCTTGACTTAGATCTTCATCCAGTATAAAGCCAAGGCTTTTTCTCAATGCTCTTCATTTTATTCTTTGAAGTATATATAGTGACTGAGAACATATGTTGCTGTTAGCAAGAGTAGCCACGCTCTCGCCAAGAGGATGTGCAGCCTTATTTTCTCATTGTTCCATCATGTTCCATGTGAAATTTCAAAGGTACTAGGGGTGGTAGTGATACTGGAATTAGTAAAACAGGGCTAGCCTCCCTCCCAGCTTCCCTTCCACTCTTAATTCCCCTTCTCCACAGCTGGAGTTATACATGCACATCAAGGGTGGGAGTGATTAGACCCAATGATTTTAAGACATAGAGCTTGTAAATATCTTTTAATATACATTTTAAAAGTCATTTTATGTTGCAAATATACACAGTATGTGGTTTGCCACAAAACAAAAACCTTTTATTTCAATGTTATAAAAAAGTTTGTTTTATTAAGAAGTAATTATATTCTTGAAGTGTTTTGTGGCCTGTTTAAAGGCTTTTATATAGTAGTGCAGTGAATGTAAAATAGAGTAAAATGGTAAAAAATATCTTGCCCTTTGTATGAAGTGCATCAGCTCTACAAACACGTCTGGTGACAAAAGGTGAGAAGCAGAGAGTCAGTAAATAATGTTGCTTTACTTTTTGAGGTATAAGTACATACCAAAGGGGTTTCACATTGGCCATATTTTGACTACTGAACCACTTCCAGACTGCATCAAACTCAGTTCAGTGACCTTCTTAATACTCTGCTTTTGCTTGCCTCAAAATTGAGCTGTTGTATTTTAGGTGCTCTTGCTCAGACAAGCTGAGCTCCTCTTGACTGTGTCAACCATTAGCAAAAGCACTGTGAGGTTACCCATTAGGTTGGACTCTGCACCTCCACGCCCCTTTCCAGGAAACTTTTATTGTCTGTACCTGCACATCTGAAAGCACACCCAGACCTCAGCCCCAAGGTCCTGCCCTTGTGTAGGGCGAGAGAGGAGGAGATCTGGGCAAAGCCTGAGGGGCAAGAGCTCAGCCAGAGTCCAGCACTGCCTCCTCCAGTCCTCCAGTCTAAGGTCTTACATGGCTCAACACTAAACACCAGCGTGGGTCCTTGGGCCGTGCACTGACACCCCTGGGGCCAGGAAAAGGCAGTCCAGTGGTCTGGGCCTCTTGCTGGCCCACTTCCAGCCCAACACCATGGCTGACCCCCAGAGAAAAGAGGAAAGGTGATGACTCCCTTCCCACTTATCCTCTCCCTGTCAACAGGACAAGGAACTGTCACTCACAGAGATGGCAGGAAGAGAAAGGAGCCAGTGAGGGAAAACCATGAGGTGTCCCCAGCCAGCAGTGGGTGCTGCCTGTGCCAGGGTGGTAGCAGCCAGTACCCAGAGATGGAGGCAGGACCCAGGCATGCAGGCAACCAGGTCGTGCTGAGCCTCCTGCCCATGCCTGTCTTGACATTTACTTCTAAACTATTTCATGTACACTACTACTGAGGTAAGTCTAATAACTTGAAATGTGAACATCTTTAGGTTAAGAACAAACTATTCTAAGAAAAAAAGTATATATAGAAAAAAAAAAAACAAAGCTAGTGTGCCTTATTCTCAAAAGAGCTGATATTTTAGATATTTTATTGTATCTCTCTTCTCTGTATTGTCAGAAGTCTCCGAGTTTATTTAGTTCTTGCTCCACTTATGGTATATTTCTAGGATATAGTGAATAAAGCATTCTTTAAAAACAGAGACTGTTACTTCATTACAACATCCCACTCTGCCAAGGCTGTGCTCCCCTCCAAGCTGGGAAAAGGGTGTTCAGGGCGGGAGGGGAGCAGGGCATTGCAGCCAGTATCTCTACAGGCTCCTGCAGGGAGGGGAGATGAACTGTCCCACTGACTCCTCTGTCCCATCACCTGCAGAGGACAGTGACCTTCCCAGCATGCATACTGGGCATCTCTCCATTCTTCCAGCATCCTCTGTACAACCTAAATCTCCCCTTGCACGCAGTTTAGAGTCAGTGCCTAGATGTGGATGGAGCTGGAGCTAACATCTCTCTGTGCTTTCCATCTACCCAGTGGCCCAGTGCACAAATTCCTGTATCTCTCTTGTATGTCCTCACTGCCAGGCAGGAGCACTGGGAACTGGTTAATCTTTTTCATTTCAGCATGTTCCATGCTTCAAACACACAAAAGATAAGCTGCACCTCATTTGCAGTGCTCCAGACTTTCTGGCTATTTCCTTGGTGTAAATACAGCTGGAGAAAATTTGCTGCTAATATCAAGTCTGTAGAGAAGGCACTGTCTGAGGCACTAGTCCTGGCTAACCAGAGAGGTCTCAGTTGCTGGAAGATATCAAATCTGACAAATATCTACAAGAAGAAGTGAAGGAGAAACCAGGGAATTATCAGGAGTGACCCACTTAGTTGGTGAGGCAAAGGCTGTGGAAGTTCTCTAACTTTATTTTAGTAAAGCCTTTGACACTGCCTGGAGAAATAATTCTCCTGGAGATATTTGGCTTCCCATGGCATGAAGGCGCTTACCATTCACTAGGTAAAAAACTGTCTGAATGGCCAAGCCCAGAGTTACATCCATGGATGGATTTACATCCAGCTGACAGCCAGTCAAGAGCAGCGCTCTCCAGGGCTCAGCATCAGGGCCAATCCTGTTAAATGTTTTTGTTGATGACCTTTGTTGATGCTGAACAAGGGGATTGAGTGCATATCAGTCAGTTCACAGATGACACCACACTGGGTGGGAGTGTTAATCTGCTGGTGGGAAGGAAGATGATGCAGGAGAATCTGGACAGGCAGGATCAATGGGCCAAGGCCAGTGCTGTGGGGTTCAACATGCCAAGTGCCAGGTCCTGCACTTGGGTCACAACAACCCCAGGCAGTGCTAGAGGCTGGGGTGGCATAGCTGAAATGTGGCCTAGTGGAAAAGGTGGCCAAGAAGGCCAATGGCATCCTGACCCACATCAGAAACAGTGTGGCCAGCAGGACCTGGGCAATGATTGTTCCCCCAGTACCCAATGCTGACACATCTCAAATCCTGTGTCCAGTTCTGGACCCCTCACACAGGAAGGACACTGAGGGGCTGGAGCGTGTCCAGAGAAGGGCAATGGAGCAGGGGAAGGGTGTGGAGCACAAGGCTTGTGGGGAGCAGCTGAGGGAGCTGGGGGCTTCAGCCCGGAGAAAGGGAGGCTCACAGGAGACCTGATCACTCTCTACAGCTGCCTGAAAGGAGATTGTAACCAGGTGGGGGTTGTTCTTTTCTCCCACGTAACAAGTGAGAGGACAAAGGGAATGGTTTGAAGATGTGCCAATTGAGATTTAGATTGGATATTAGGAAAAATGTCTTCACTGAAAGGGTGGTCAAGCATTGGAAAGGCTGACCTAGCACCATTCCCTGGTAGTGTTAACAAAGTATATGGGTGTGGCACCTGGGGACATGGTTTACTAGTGAACATGGCGGTGCTAGGTTAGGAGGATTCAATTATTTCAAAGGTATTTTCCAACCTTAATGATTCAATAATTCACTTGGATGAGAAAGAAACTACCAGCAAATAACAGGCCTTTATAGAAGTTTAAACATGAGGCATGACCTTCACAAAAAGCAATGTTTTCCAAATGAGATTACCTGTGCCACGTTGAAATGTTTCTGCTCTTTCTTTTTTCCCTTTACCCAAGCTACCCAAGATTAAAATTAATCTACACAACTTCTTCTAAACATATACTTTACAAGATTATTTCTTTATTTTTCTAGACTGCTGGTTTCTGTCTTCAGTTTTGTAAGATCTTAATTAATTATTAACTCATCATAAGGTTGAAATATGCAAGTCATTCTCAGGATATTAACATAAACAATGCCAGAGAAATGCAATTGTGCTTTCAAGATGACCTTGCTGCCTTGGGAATGTCAGGAGCTCTGCTGAGGCCTTGGGCACTGTGACAACTCAAAATGCTGGGATCAAGGCTATACCATTCCCTTTTTTTAATGTCTTTCTTCATGGTCTTGAAGAACAGATGTTCTCTTCCTTGGCTGGTATCATCCTAAAAACCATGCTAAAAACCAGCTTTAGCTTTCTTCTGGAAACACCATTCAGTAGCATAACTGTGATACAACTATTAAATTAACAGATTTAGAAGAAATTCAAGTGCACCACTCTAATATGGCAACATTCATCTATAAAACACTCAGAGTATATGTAAAATGCATTTTTCATACATACAAAAAAATAGATGCAGTATTTCACCTCCTTCTCTGTAGCTGGTGTTACACTCCTAACATTTCTGGTCAGAATGAGTCCTTAGCACTTACAGGACTCTCTGCTCCCTGGATGCCAATCAGCTGCAAAACTGGCCCATCATGCTGACCTGTAAAATAAATAAACCCAAGACCTACACTGTAACAAGAGAAACTACCTCTGCTGTGCACCTAAAAGCCAGCAATATTCAGGTTTTATGCTCCAGTGTGCCAATTAAATGCTGAATCACACTTGACTGAGTTTTAGAGCCAAGTCCTGCCTGGCAGCAAAATGGTCGGGATGGTGTTGCAGGGAAAAGCTGCAAGCTAGGGAATTAAAAAAAAAGTAGTTTTGTGGCACCAAGTCCCTCCCTTTTGGCAGAAAGACAGGCTGTGCCATGCCATTATGATTGTTCAAGCCACCAAAGAGGAAAGAGACAACAGATAGTTTTAGAAATTTGGAACTGTACAAGTACTTCCACATGAAATATTTTCTGTCAAGCTGATGAATTAGATCAGATTTTTTATCTCCAGACAGAAGACAAGAACTGGAGTTCGCTTGGTTCCTAATCAAAGAAGACAGAAGTTCTGTCTCACAGGCCTCACTCAGGCAAAACTGTAAATCCTGCATGTGGGAGGTGACCAATTAAGGACTGCCTGCATCAGAAAACTTTACAGGGAAAAATGCTCAAGTGTGCTCAGCTTTGTCCCACATGTACCAAATGCCTGTGTCTTCCCAATATAGTGTCAGGTGTCTTTGTCTCTTTGTCTTAACAGGCTGTGTCAGTCAGACATCTCCATCTAACAGACTGTGAAAGTTGAAAAAACCTTTGTCGCGCAGTGGCAAAGTTAAAAAACTATGCCCCACGGTGGGTCCTGGGGCTCCACCTCCTCTGACCAGGGCTCCTCACAGCCACCCTTCCCCAGGGCATTTGGAGACACGCCATCACAAACCTGGTGCCCACCCTGACTTCTGTGGGTCAGGGTTCCTGTGCTTCTGCATGCAGCTGGCTTGCAGGGTGGTGGCTGCCCTGAAGGAAGCTGGGTGACTTTTCATGTTTTGGCTGACACCATCATACTTTTACTGTGAAGAAAAACATGCTTTTGTTCTTTTTTTTTTTTTTTTCACCCCTTTCCAAACATATACACATTATTTTTACCAGCCAGGTTGCACTTTGAGCCCATCCTTGCATGTTTTTGCAATGTCACAGAAGCTCATTGTTACCTCAACCACTGCCTGCAATCTGTGCACTGGTGGGAAGTAGGAAGCCACAGGTAAGCCGAAAGATCTTCATGAAGCATGAAATAAACCCTGCAAACAGCCTACACAACCCAGAGAAGTGACCTCAAGCTAACCAGCAGAAAGAAAAATGCACTTAAGTCAGTCAGAGGCAAAACAGCCTACCCTTAATCAGGTCCTTTGTTCCAAATCTTTGAAGCAATAACTACAATAAGGAGTTCTTACTCCTGTAACAAATCCATAGGTTATGGACCAACATGTTTTACTCCAAAGGGCATGTAATGACAAGGGATTACTTACTAAAGTTGTAATGCATGCAGTGGCCATGCACAGGGCATCCTTAGTTTCTCAAGTCTTTGACTTTTCAGATGCTATCCCTTGCAGAAGGCTTTCTGGCCACATGGATAAGCTAAGTATTTCCTTAAAGCTTGGTTTCACTACAGTAGATGGATCCCTTGGCTTACCAGCCTTTGTGCAGGACACAGAGAGACACAATCCTAGTCAGCAGCTGCAATGCTGACATCCAAGCAGCAGTGGGGCAGCTAAAGAGAGATTGGCAGAGCACTGAAGTGCTGAAGCTGCTTCCACCATAGTGAACATTAGCTGCTGCTTATGGAAAAAGAAGTCAGGAAGTCTGCTGTAATTTGTAGCTGAGAAGAAAAATCAAGTCTTATATGGCACTGTACTGTCTCTGTGTTACAAACTCCTTTACACCCATGACCCTTAGGAACCAAATTCCCAAATGCTGATTCAAACCCCCAGTCTCCTCAGCGTCCAGTCAGGCAGATGCTCTCCAGGTTCAGCCTGAGCCCCCTGCCTGGGTCTGTAGACACCCCAAAAACACAGGGACCTGCGCTGCTCTTTCCACAAAAGGCTACATGGTGCACAAGGGTCTCACCTCACTTTTCTGGGCCTCCTACTTGCAGCTCATGTGAGGTTTTGAGACACACTCAGATGAAGTGACTTCGTTATACACTTTGGCTTTTGTACAAGTTTTTTCAGGCTGTTCCTTTTGGATTTGAGACTAGGACAGCAGCAAGGCCTAAAAGGATTACATTTATGCATAATAACTGGTACTTCAAATTTACACCAAAAAAAAAATCTGCCTCCTGAGAAAATGAACTTCCTTGTCTTTCTGTGACATCTTTGTGAGCAATAGGAGGGGAGGGAGAACACGGAAATGTACAACACTTGGCACGGCTACACCTCAAACTAGTATTTCAACATTTTACAATCAACTTTGGCCATGTGACCTATGCGGAAAGATAAACTGAGATATTTAATCCTATTTTTCTTGTCTTTTTTTTCAATATAAGGAAGTGAATTTCATGTGGTTGTTGTTAAATTACAGTAAAATATTTGCCCATAAGAGAGAAAAAAAAACATTACAGAGTTTTTTAACATAAGTAAGTCTGGGACTATGCATCTGTTTGTGACCAAATACTCTTTCCTACCTTTAAAAATCTTAGTGAGCTTCACTATTTCTCCTGACTGTGGTATTTAGGGACATGTCAGCTCATTGCAGGTAAGGATTGACCACCATTTGCTTTTGCAACCAGAGTATGAATAACAACTTCCCAAAAGCAAATCACATTTTGAGATAAAGCAGCAGCAATTACTATGATTTCTGCTTCATCTCCAGAATATCATAAACTGTTGAAATGACAACTGGGTGTTTGGTGAGCTGCACACTCTGTTATACTGTGGCAGGGAAAGATAGTTCAGACCAACCAAAGGCACAGGTCTGCCACCACCCTGGATGAGGAGCGTGCTCCAAGAATGTGTGGAGATGCCAGGGTACAATCAGTAACTCCCTCCTAATGGAGCATCCCCAGGGACCAGCATGCAGCCCTGAAGTGGCAAGGGCAGTCTTGGCCCCTGAGACACAGTGGGTGAGGTTATGAGTCCTTGGCAAGGCAATCTTTAGTCAGCATTGTCAGCAGAGATGAGGACACAGGCTGGGAAAACCTTCATGGGGACAGATGTTCAAGAAACTCTACAGACTGTGCCCATGACTTGCTGCAGAGCAGTCTGGAGGGTACGCTCTGATTTTCCTGTTAGCACAAGGAACAGACCTAAAATGACTGAGGGGTGCAGTAGCAGTTGTCAGAGTGCCAGGCACTGGAGATTGGCTTCTTCAGCACCTAGGGTAATTTCTGAGAACTGTGGCTTTTTGCTTTTGGTGTTTTTTGTTTGGCTTCACCCCCACATGTTAACACATGCCAATGTCTTCTTTAGGGCAACATTAGTCTCTTCATATTATTTAAGCAGTGTTTTGTTGCAGTCCGCTCAATCCATGGACATGTTGGCCTAAGTGTGGTAACAGCTAAAGATGAAATGTACCTTTGTAAAGGCACTGCTGCAATCTCCTGGAACCTGCCAGCTGGACATCTATACAGGCTAAGCAGGGCTTTTCATCTCAGGTGTTATGAGAGAATGACATCCAGGTTTCCAGACTGGAGGTGGCTCAGCTTTGTCCAGCCCAGAGCAGTGGCAGGTGAGCCACACACCCCTGTACTTGTAACCATCCCCTGCTGCTGCCAGCACCAGCCTGGCTCCACCAGCTCCCACCGGCCAGGGCGGATCGAAGGGGAGGAGCGAGGGCTTGTGTTTAACCAGGCTCAGCTCCCTGGGTGCTCTGCCACGTCCCCACAGGAACCATTGCACTGGCACAGGCAGGAGGCACAGGGATGAGCTGCGCAGCCCAAGGCACTTCTGCAGGATCAGCCCAGCATCTGCTCCCGTCTCAGCCTGCCTGCATCCACAGGGCGATGCTGCGGGCTCAGCAGCAGCAGCACACCTAGCAATGCCCTGGCAGGCAAGCACAGCACGGCAGAGCAATGTGAAAGCCCCACCTTTGGCACAGAAATCATCTTGTACATAAAATTGGGCAACGCCACAATGCACTGTGACTCTGCCTGTCAGGCTTCTGATGCTCAGCCCCAATATTTTCTGCTATGAGTCTTTTTTATTAACTGGCAGCTCTCCTGCTCCCATTTCTTCTTGTGAGCAGGTTTATTACTAAGATAATTCTTGGGCCCAACACAGCCCCCGTTCCCCGGCAACTTACTCCACCAGGCTCCTCTCATCTCTTCTGCCGGCTCGCCCGCTGCTTGCACAATGGCATTACGCATCTCCCCAGGGCTTAGGAGGGGCCAGCAGCGAGATGCACCAGTGAGAGAAGGATCGAGCAACAGCAGCTTCTTCACACGTGGGTGCTGCCCCGGCGGCTGCTGTCCCCAGCTCGCTCCTGCCATGGTCTCAGCATCCTAACGATGGCAGTGCCCCCACACACACCGCCGCCACCGCTCACCTTAAGAGGTCCACCTCCAGCTCACTTGAGAAATGGATTTTCATGTCTGCAAACAGGGAAAGCTGCGGGGAGACCTGACCCTGGCTGCTGTGATCCACAGAGGCTACATTGCCTATCAAAGGGAGCAGACAAAAATATTAATGAAAAAAAAGGATGAACAGGCTTCTTGTGGCATCACTCCTCTGTGGGTCTGAGTTGGCTGGTATATCAGGCTGCACCTGCGCAGAGGTACATTCTTCTCATCTTACCACAACCGTGGAAAATTCCTACCAAGAAGCATTTCAGGATTTGACTTTGGCAGAACTTTGGAACACCCTGGAACAGATTGTATAAGATAAGGGATCACATGTAATAGTCTTATATACACATAATTCAATTACTTTGTGTATTTCATGACAAGTCTTTAAGAAAAGATTACTAACACATCCTAGCACCACATGTTATGCTGGAGAATAAATAAAACATGCCTGCCAAAAAGATGTTTCAGAACAGCTTTCTGATACTTCAGTTATAAAT